AGATGACGGATTTACACCTCATCACTTACTTCTTGAACATTAAGATCAAACAAAGCAATAAAGGGACGTTTATTTCATAAGCAAGCTAGGTAAAAGAGATATTGAATAAGAGAATTACCAACCAATTGATACACCTATTGAATGTAACACCAAGCTAACTAAAGAAGGAGAAGGTAAATCAATTAATTCAACTTATTACAAAAGTCTTGATAGATATTTAAGATATTTGACATGCACGATTTATAGTTGGCTTAATAAGTAGATATTTAGAAGCTATTAAGATATCTCATTTAAATGTCATTAAAAAAAATTATGATATATTAAATTGATAATTGACTATGGCATATTTTATTCATAATCTAAAGTTTAGAGTTAGATATAGTGATAGTGATTGGGTCAAAAGCTATGACAATCAAAAAAGTATAATGGAATTTATATATATTTTCTAAAATAATTATATTTATATAATCTTCTAAAAAATAATTTATCATTACTCTATCAAGTTGTGAAGTAGAATATATAGCAACACTTTCTTGTGATAATAAGTCAGTCGAGATTTATGTTGGTAATAAATTAACTATTACCCTAGCAAAAAATCTAATATATCATGAGAGATCTAAATACATCGACATAAGATTTCAATTTATAAGAGAGTATATCCAGGACAAAATTATGGAATCACTTTATATAAGAATAAATGAACAAGTAATCGATATTCTTATAAAGTCCTTAAAAGTTGAAATTTTTAAATATTTTCGAATGAAATTTGACACAATAAGTTTAAGATGGAAAGAATGTTAGAGGATTAAACTTGTTCACATTCATACAAACAAATGAGTTACAACAAGTTTTTTAGTGAATTCATTTGAGAGAAGCTCCTTTTGCATTGTCCAAATTATAGCTTGTTCTCCTCTCTCTCTCTCTCACCTTTTCTTGCTTCCAATCGTCCTCAAACTAATATGTTGGAGGATATTGATCAGTGATGACTCACTATTATTTTGGTGGGTCGTCATCATTAACTCGTTGAGGTTCTCTAAGTTATGATTGTATTATGACAAGATATATTTTTTCCTATCTTTCTAAATTGATTGAGGAACAAAAAAAACTCATCGATTAATCCACAGATGTGAGAGACCGCCAACGAGAGGCAGATCCACAGATTCCAATACAGCTAAACGAGATGGGAGATCAGCACCAAAGGAACAAACAAAACCAGGAAAGCCTCAGCTCAGATCTTTACTAGCAAACCTGTTTCCACATGAATGATGATGATTACCACTTTCCTCACCATGTAGAACATATGCGCATACCGACATCCACGTCCTTTTCGCCTCCAACCTCCACTTCAACCACCCTCCGGTCTCATCTTTCTTGGCCTTTTCCCCTTACCTAAAATGCAGAGAACACTGCTCTCTTCTCTTACCCTTCCTCGATGTCCGACTCACAGGTGATGATAGCTCCGCCTGAGGAAGAAGCCTCGCCTATGGCAAACGTCCAACTGGTCTCGAGACGGGTCTCGGACGCACTCCTGACCAAGTTCCCGGACACGTCGGAGTTCGACTTCGAGTACGAGAAGAGCAGCCTGTGGTCGCCGCCGGTGCCGCTCCCCGCGTCAGCGAGCTCGTCCCCACTTGCGTGCGCCGAAGGAGATCGACGCCGTAAGCGATGGAACAAGGTGAGCCTCCATGGAGACCACGACCTTCAACAAACAGTTGCATATGGGTCTTGCGTGTGTACCAACAACTCTTCTTGTTCATGGCCGTAGGTCTTCTGGTGCTTCTGAAAGGTAGAAAGTTGGAGGTCGCTGAGCTCTAATTACTTTATCTGCAATCTACGTTTCTTTCAACTTTTAGGTAAAGAAAGCATCCTTTGCTATCCTTCATTACAAGGGATGCATAAGGGGAACCCTCTGTAACACAATTCAATGCCAGTTTGCTTCATGTGAGAGCAGCTGAAGAGGAATTAGCAGCTTCCAGTCCGAGGTCTAAACATAGATATATACACGCTGGAGTATGTGATCTGCAGCTATATGTTGGTTTGATTCTCAAAATGAATCTGAAGACTTCCATCCTCTCGGTCATTTGCATCTACTGGTGACACGAGTGCAGCATTCATGCAAGCATTATTGATCTCAGTGCATAGAATAGCAGACTGAGGGTTGAGATGGATACAATGGATACTGCCAAATGAACAAGGCTTCATTCCAGCTCGATTTATGAGACATCCAAGTTCGGGCCACTCCATGTTCTTATTGCCTTCATGTATGTAATTTAAGATCCTCATGTTAATTTCTCTAATATAATGGTCGATCTCTAAATCTTTGTGTTCATCCCTTTTTATCGTATACAAAAGAACAGCAAAATACATACAAACTGCTGCAGCTTCTTTTGTTTACATGAGAAGCTGCTGCAGATATCCAACATTACTTGGTTGCATAAGGACAAATCACGTACGATGTTTCCCGAGTTTTCTGCCTCGGAGATACTGGCAATACGCGTCGAAGTCGTCGCTGATGCTCGCCAAACCCTAAGGAGGACGGGAGCTACGCAAGTACGAGAAGCCGAAGGGAAAGATGCATCAAGACGAGGCAAAACGGAGAAAGGAAAACAGTTCTCAGTCTCAGCCTGTGAAGATAATGGTTAAGACTTGAGATGAGCTCAAGTTGGTGCCCCCCCAAGTGTTGGGACTGTGGTGATGGTCATGCAGGAAGAAAGGAGGAGACTTGGAGCCCTGTAAAGCTTATCCAACTAGTGAATCCTCCTCCAAGATAAATCTGTGAGAAATCAAGTCAGCTAAATTCCTATTATGTTATCTCACTCCCATAACAACAAAAAATCTCCTCTATATGTAATTATTTTCAGATTCAAAATAAGTATCAAATTCTTTTATGTTAATTTATATATCGCATTGACTATGAACTGAAACAGTATCTTTGTTATGGCTTTGCTCGATTGCTCATATGGCTGCTGTATGCAGAAAAATAAACAAAAAGATAATTTTTTTTTATGGATCTTACAATACTCTATCAAAATCTTTACCAACTAAGTTATCTAACACCTTTCTGTCTTATGAATCGGTTACTATGATGGCTACGCAATGATTTCATTTGGGAAAATAGAAAAAAGATTGCACTAAATACTAGTTCAAAACATAGTCAAAGATTCAAGCAAATACTGGGATGGCTTTACTTGTTGCCTATGATCATGAGCAGATGATGATATGAGCAAGAAGACACCTCCTCCTTGCCAGATGAGATGGACAGTGGGGGAAAATGGCAGGGCAATTCTCCTTTGGCAAGAGAGGGAGGCCACATGCATCTGCACCTGCTTGGACTCCTTGCCAAGAGGAGAACTGCACTGTCATTCTCACACCCACCCTCTTCACGGCGTCTTCCTTCCTCCTCTTTCCTGCTTTCCCTGCGGCTCGAGTTCATCATTTATAGTACGCGGCGCCATAGATCATATCTGGATATGCTGCAGGATATGCTTCCAGCATGCTTCAGGAGCTTTCTTCCCTTTAGGAAGTCTAAGTTCTTCATTACTGTCATATTATACCGTAAAGTTTTTACTTAATACTTGATTTATCGAACCAATATCTTTTATTTTTATGATTATCTGATTGTTGAACTAACAATTTTTGCATGGTTCTATTTTTCTTTAACAGCACCAAAACTTTCTCATCCATTGATGCACTTCAACAAATGCATGGTCTAAACATTGTTGTAATGTGTTCGTGCATGAATGTAGGATTACATTGATTCGAACCATCTACTTAATCATGTGTCAACCTCTATAAATCTGGAAAGGAAATGGAACATAGCCCAAAGGAATCATCTTTATGTCCAAGTCATGGCAGCCAAAGGAGCTTTATCTTTGCACCTGGGTTTGCTGGGGGTGGAACATTCTCCAAGATGTTCCAGTTGGGTGCTCCTCTCCATTGTTCTATAAAGATTTGAGATCTCTTGGTTTCCTGGTAAAAGGCATTCATGGAGATGCTCCTGAGCAAGCATTATGTGACATTTTTAGTCTTAATGTTAGGATTGATATGTATTTTTGATTAATAAAAACTTTATTTGCAATCAATAAAGAATCCATATTTGGAAATATTTCTTTACTTGAAGGAAAAAAATAGGAATTAAGTATTGATTACTCTATATTCTAGGATTTTAAGATGTGTTATGTAAGGGGAAAACTGCTTGAATGCTCCATAGTTTTCTTACTTTGGTAGATTTGGTTTGATTCAAGAGATGATTTATTTTTCTTATAGTATAAAGAATCTAATTCAAGAGATGATTTATTTTTGATTTGTTGCCCATAATATTTCATCTAAAAAAATTCAAATGCTCACAAACCCCATCTTGAGAGAGTCAAACACTGTTTGGGTCAATCTTTTCCTGTGCCCCTTTGGAGGATCCCAATTTGGTCCACAGGAAGCTAAGTAGCTTCACAGTGGCATTTTCGTTGTTTTGGCGGCGGCCAGGAGCAGCCGAAAACCCTTACTGGATCTTCCGCCACGCGAGCTGTTTCGCTAATAGACTACGCCACTCTACCCGCGTCGATCTCTCTTCTCTTCTCGCAATGGTTGTAATGCTGCATCATATCAATCGCTTTATCGAGCTTTTCTTCTGATGAAAAGCTGCTCTGATGAAATCGTTCTCCGCCTCTTCCCTTGCAGGATTCCGAGAAGAAGCTGTCGAACCCGATGAGGGAGATCAAGGTCCAGAAGCTCGTCCTCAACATCTCCGTTGGCGAGAGTGGCGATCGTCTCACGAGGGCCGCTAAGTTGTTAGTTATCAGGTCGATCGAACTCATTTGGCGGATCACTTTTGACTGTTTGCATTTCTAGATTTTGCCTTATATATGAGTTGGTCGTTGATTTTTCTGTGTCAAAATCTGATTTTGATGTCCTGATTTCGATTTTTTATTGGGCTGAGATTTAATCAATGTATATTGAAAAATCAAAGCTGAAAGTTGTAATCTTTGTGATAGTATGTTTTTTTAGTCGCTCTCCTGGCCTTGTGAATGTTCCAAGTACAATATTGACATGTCCCTGCAATGCATTTGCAAATTCTAGTATTTGCTAATGCTCAAAAATCTCCTCGCCTATCAGAAAGGCTCATCTGCAGTTGTAGCTAATGTAGTTTTGAGTGGCTATCTTCTATGTATTTAGTTCGTAAATAACAAGGTACGTAAACAGTCTTGATCTGAAGTCGATCAATCTTATATGTGCTGCATTGTTAAATTCTTTTTGAAGTTCTTGGTTGTTTGTTGATAAGCATACAGGGTTTTTATTCTTAATCTATACTGTGTTTAAATCGTTTGCTTATGGATCTAGTTACCTCTGCTTTTGTAGGTTTTGGAGCAGCTAAGTGGACAGACACCAGTGTTCTCAAAGGGTACTTTTGTTGAAGAATAACGTGCATTAAATGAGTATTTTTGAGATTGTTCTGAGGTATACTGTCCGGTCATTTGGAATCAGGCGTAATGAGAAGATCGCGTGCTATGTAACAGTAAGAGGTGACAAGGCAACGCAACTTCTAGAAAGTGGACTAAAAGTTAAGGAATACGAGCTGTTGAGGAGAAACTTCAGTGACACTGGTTGCTTTGGTTTTGGCATACAAGAGCATATTGATCTTGGAATTAAGTAAGCAGTTTTTTTAGTTGTCATTGTTAATTTTCCTTTCAAAACCATAGATATACACTAGAAGAATCTGAACTTGTGTGTCTATATTTATTTGTTGTGTGTCATCTTTGTTAGAATTTAACCTTTAAGTTGATTATGCTTACCTTTGGGGTACAGATATGACAATGGGGAACGTGACCCATTTAAATTTTAATTCTTAAATTATGTGTAGGAAATACACCTGTTGCAAATCAGTGTTTCTGTATGTAGATACTAACTGTTAGTGTTATGTCAGTGGTTTGGAGAATTAGTGTTCTTAACCAGGTTGCTCATGAATATTCTGAGTGAATAATAATAAACATTTAGAGCAATTAAACAATAAATTTTATTTGCTATTATATTTTGTTGCACTTTTTTAGAATCTTAGGAGCAGATTATCCATTTTCTTTCTATTTGAGCTTAGTCCTGGGTACTCTTTTTTTTTAGCTTAGTCATTCTGTACTAAAGAAACTTAAGATTATCATTTGGATCCAACTTCCCATGTTTCGGACATGATTGTTCTTTAATAGTGATGCTTACAGTCCACTCTCAATTTGTTAGTTCCCCCTCTATGTGACCAAAGATTCCTTCATCATTTTCTATTTTCCATCAGTGCATTGCCTGGGAAACCGACACATGGTTCACACAAAACTTCAGTCTTAGGTTTTATTTAGAAAATTCTGATTAAAGGAGAGCAATGTAGAAAGGAGAAAAAAACTTGAGGATAGATTGAAAAGTTGTGAAGTAGACACTTCATTTTTGCTGAAGTAGGCAAACATGTCCATCCATAGTAATTGATCGATACTGTGAGCAGTTATTGATTTGTGCTATGGCTTGAGCATGTGTCATCATCCACACAGCATGGAACTCGTCATGGTACGTTTTGACAATGTCATGCTGTGCTGGTTATGTGCGTAACATGCTGCTGCTATCTATAGTTAGGCATGATATGCGTATTGATAAGTTGCATGTAGCATGGCATCCTTGTTTGAGATTAAGTTGTTGGTTAATCAACATTTTCTTTATTTTTTGGGTCAAAAGCTTTCTTTGATGAGAAAAAAAGAATAGTTATTGAAAATCATCTCTGGAGCAACTTGGTTGGGTTTGAAACCCTGAGAGAGGATCCTTTGGTAAAGGTTATAGCTAAGGGCACATAAATCAAACTTGAATTATTGTAAAAACTAAAATTAAAATTGGTATGTTAAAGTCCTCAAATAGAATTATAGATTTGCACCATGGCTTGCACATATGTCCAAGTCAAGGATTGGATTAGCATAGTCACGAATCATGATATTCTCTGCATGTTAAAAAAAATTTGTGTTTGCTCATTTTATTATTCTATGAATGTGTTATCTTACTTTTTCAGGTATGATCCCTCAACTGGTATCTATGGTATGGATTTCTATGTTGTATTGGAGCGTGCTGGCTATCGTGCGAGTCGTCGCCGCCGATGCAAGTGCGAGTCGTCGCCGCCGATGCAAGTCACTAGTTGGCATTCAGAACCGTGTCACCAAGGAGGATGCAATGAAGTGGTTCCAAGTCAAATATGAGGGTGTCATCCTCAACAAGTCTCAGGCAACTACGAGTTCTTAAGGTCTGGTACAACTGGACCTTGAAAATTGTTCTGCAGCTAAATTAGCTCTTTTCTCTTTTTTTTTCTTTCAATCATCAGTGTTTCTTTTGAAAACTCTGCTACTTTTCCAACTTTGTGTCCCAGAGATTTGTGTTCTGTTCCTATCATGAATCCAAAGACAGTAGCCATTAAAATTTTCTAACATGTTGTGGAAATAGGTGACTTTTGCATTGAAGAAGCCTGTGTTTTCTGACAATCTATCCTGCTTTAGATGTTAAAGTGTTTGAGTTTATCCTGAAGTGCTTCTTTGTTGCAAACTGTTGGTCCCTACGGAAGAAATAGTTCATGTGGTTATGGTATGTCTATTGACACATCTAAACTTTGGACACGACGAAGAGAAGAGAGAGAGAGAGAGAGAGAGAGAGAGAGAGGTGTGGTTTCTATACAGTAACAAGGAGCGGTCGAACACTTCGCCTCGTGCTTTACGCCGGCGAAGCAAATGAGGTCGGTGTGTCGAACGTAGTTGACCTTTAAGATGAGGGGATGGTTGCAAAAATCATAGACTGTTATATTTGAAGATCCTTTAAAATAAGTATATTGTGTATTGCCTCTCTATTTCTAAATTTAACATAATGCACACATTCTTGCAAAATATAGAAAATTGGTTGACATCATCTAAATGTCATTCGACTATTAGTTTTTAACTCACTGTGATTGTAAAAATACTAAACATATTTTAGTTATTCAAATATATTTTAGAGTCGGACTAATTAATGTCAATTAGATTTTTTCGGATGAATATGAATAGACAAAAAAATAATTTTAACGATGATGACGGATGATTACATCGTGGGTGACTATTATGGCGGTGGTCGACGAAAACGAAGTGATGATCGATTTTGTCGATGTTGATCCGAACATTGACGACGAGAAGAAAGATGAGGTAGAGTGGTGAGGCATCTATGCCGGTTATGTCGGTGCCGAAGGAGAAAGAGGAGGGAGATGAGGCATCTAAATCTATACTGCATCGGTTATATAGTGTTGCTATGTGATGCTGACGCAACTACCTCACATCCTTCCTCTTTCTCCTCTAGCGTTGTCACAAATCTAGATGCCTCATTGCTTTGTCTTTTCTTTCTTCTTGTCATTGATGTTCAGATCGATTATCACATCATTCTCATTGACCAACACCACAACAGTCACTCATGGTATCATCATCTGTCACCATAGTTAAAATTATCTTTTTATTTATTATTTTCATATTATTCATATATTTTTTATCGATAAAATTGATGATATTAAGATAAATAAAATTAAATATTTTATTTTTATAATTATAAAAATTTTCATATAAATTTTTTAAATATAAAATCCGACGTAATCATATGAAGTAATACTTAATTAGCCCAACTTCAAAGGCACAGACAACCTAGCATTAAAATTCTTCATGCTTCGCTGGCGTGAAGCACGAGTCGACGTGTTCAACCTCTCTCTTACTGTATATAAATCACACCTACCCCCACCCCTCTCCCCCCACTCTCCTCTCTCTTTCCGTCGCTCCCTCCCTCCTCTACCTCGTGTCCAAATTTGGGTTTTGGATCTCCCCTTCCCTCTCTGTTTCGTCGTTCTTACCCTCCTTACGATCGGCGTGGGATGGCAGAGGGGAAGCCGAAGGGCCAGTCTGGAGTGTGGGGCACCGTCAAGCCCTTCGTCAATGGCGGCGCCTCCGGGATGCTCGCCACCTGCGTCATCCAGCCGATCGACATGGTCAAGGTAAAGATCTGGTTACCCTTCTCCTTCCTTTCGTCTAAAGCCCTCTGTTGTCGAGGTGAAAGTTTGTGCTTTTTGCTTTCCGAGATCTGGGTGCTAACTTTGCTTTTGTTGGTCCAAGAAAAAAGGGGCGTTCTGTTGTTTTCTATTTTTTTATGTTGGAATGTGATGTCTTGTGGAGTTTGTCTGTTGATCTGTTAATAGATCTGAGGTCTATGCAAGGTTAATTATCATTCGGTGGTGACGGTTTCTCATGCTTCTGTGTGTGTTTGATTTCAGGTGAGGATCCAACTGGGCCAGGGATCAGCAGTACAGATTACGAAGAATATGCTCGCAAATGAGGGTTTCGGCTCGTTTTACAAGGTTTGCATCATCTTCCGCTCTTTCCTAATATTTACTCGGGCAGTACACGGTCGCTGGTTGCTTAATTTTGCATAGATCTTACGAACATGCTAGTGTGGATATTGGATCAAGCCAGGTCAATGCAACATCTAGAATCTTCTTCCAATTTTTTTTTTTCCTGAAAGAGTTGAAATAAATTGTCTGGCATTTTTTAGTGTGGCTTGATGATTTTTTAAACAAATTACTTTTACTGCTTTCTTCCTGTGTTTCTCATTCTTCTGAGTTATTTTTGCTCTAAGCCACTGAACATTTATGACTGACTTGAAGAAGAACATAAAATCTTTACAACTGTAGGTTCGACAAGGCATAACCTAGTTTTATTTTACCCATCACTTGGGAGAAAGTTTTAAAGAATATAACAACAACAACAACAAAGCCGTAAGTCCCACTATTTGGGTCGGCTACATGAAGCTTTGGCCATCATTGTGATAAGTAAAAAGTCATATGTTTAGTTAAGTTTAGAGTACTTAAATATTTATTTATAGTCTCTATTAAAGTCTTTTTAGGTCTTCCTCCATCTCTCTTTGTATCACTAACATTAATCATTTCACCTTTTTTAATTATCGTATCCGAAGATCTTCTAAGCATATGCTTATATTATCTTAGACAATTTTCTCTCATCTAATTCTCTATCGAAGTGCTACTTAGTTGTTCACGAATAAGAGTATTTGTTTTCCTATCTTTCCTAGTAATTTTACACATCCATCTCAATATTTTTAGTTCGGAAACACAATTTTTTTGTATATATTGTTTCTTAATTGTCCAACACTGAGATCCATAAAACATTATTGGTTTCACAACTATCTTATAAAGCTTTTATTTTAATTTTAAAGGTATCCGATGATCACACAAGACTCATAACGCCCCTCGCCATTTTAAAGAATAGAAAATATGCTAAAATTATTACTCAAGGTAAAAATGTACCATTCCATTGCTTGGGATATTTCTAGATTATTAAAAATTGATTTTATCAAAATTTCTTTGTGAAGGAATGACTTCGTTTAGAGTCTAGAAGATACATCCACCATTTTTGACAATGGAACTTAAGTCTTACGGAAAGGTTGATGGTCATTAACAGAAGGAAATAAGTACAACGAGAGTAAAAAGCTGTTAGACGAAGTAGTAAATCATAGATTTAAGTAAATTAATCTGCTTCTGCATGGTGAATCAAGAGGGGAACATGTATGCAATTTATTATGCTTTTTCCTACAAAACTTGATTCAAAATGCTAAAGGTTATTTTTGACAATGTTGTACACGCTTTGGTAAGAACATGTGCAAAAGCAAAAAGTTCATAGAGAGAGAGGGTGTGTATCTAGAATACATCAGCTAGTGCTATTTATGTTCAGCTCTTTTGAAAACATAGCTTCATAGCTTTAGGCTGTAGATAGGTTGTCCTGCAGTTTTGTAGATAGTGGAGACCACAGATTAGTTCATGTCAACTAAGCTACCTCATAGGAAAACAAAGAAAGATATTTTAACAAGAGAAAAAAAGAGAATAAACAGTTAGTAAGAAGGAGAAAAGGATAAATGATTTTAAAAGAAAAGAAAATTCTTTTGTTGACTTCTTTAGGAAATTTGAGTTAAATTATCCCTTTGAGTTAATTTTTTGTCATCTTGTAGCATTCTCTTTATTTCACCTTCGTTTTACTTTCAATTCTTGTTAGATATTAGTCACGAATGATTATCTGAATAGTAATTTATAACTCTTAATTTCAACCCTTAGAATGTCAGTTTGAAATACAAAGAATCTTACTCTTATCTAATTATCAAATGAAGTAATGCAAAAATACATATTTACTTATAGTACCTTTCTCTAAATAAGGTTTGTTGACATGTATATTATTATGTTTGTAGTGGTATTGTGAAGTGATTTTTAATTCTTATGTTTTACACCACTAGTATCCGTTCTCTCTTCATGTATTCTTTCAATTTCTTAATTTCCTTTCTTTGATTTTGGATTAAAAAATGTTTAGAGAACTTTGTGCAAACATTTGTTGATTTTTTTAAGTGTATGTTCCAGGTTTTTATCCTTAGGATTAATCTTGTTTACTTTGTCAAGTTTTTTTTTTTTTTTTTTTTCCAGTGGTTGAGACTTGGTACATATTAGCAAGGTATGCAATTTCGAATAATACTGTCCGGTATGGACGGTATGTACCTGTTCGTCAACTGATTGGTACACGGACCACCCGTTACCGGACGGAATGGAATATATGTATGTATATATATATATATATATATGTATATATATATATATTTGTATGTATGTATATGTATATATATATATATGTATATATATACATATATATAACGAGGAGATGTCACGTTGCCTCGACGACGTCGCCCCG